CGGAGTGAGAAGTGGCTGAGAGTCCAGTGTAACATGACAAGGGGCGGTGGTGAGAGTGAACAAATGGGGGGGCCGGGTATAGGAACTGGGGCCTCACAGATGAGGCCGAGCTCTGTCCTGCCTCCTTCCGCCATCATTCTTGACCCTCGTACCCCCACTCTTCCCATTCTGCAGATCAGAATACCGAGGCTCAGAAAGGAGAATCCACTGGCCCAGAGTCACACACCTCAACTCACTTGCAGGTGAGGGCAGGGAAGGAAAACCCCAGGTCAGTGTGTGGGGGACTCTCCTAAGTTTATTGGGCAACAGGCTGCAGGTGAGGGGGCTGACAGGAGTGTGGGGGTGTAATAACTTAAAAACCGGAGGTGACAGCGGCAGCTCCTCGAGAGACCTCTGCAGAGGGGAAGGGTGGGGGTATTTACAAGGATTTGTACAAAGTGCCCCGCGCCAGCCTGGGGCAGGAAGGGGGTTCGAACACGGGGTAGAGGAGGGGAAGGAATCTGTCTCTCTAACCCCACTCCCAGGCCCCCAAGTTCTCCAGTCTTTAGGCTCAGCAGCTCTCCCTGCCCCGCCCAAGGCTTAATTCTTGGGCTGTTGGGAGAGATGGAAGAGTTCTCTCAGTTCCCCTTCCTGACCCCAAAGTTTCAAGTGCCCCCGGCAGCTCACGGCAGGACAGGCCCAGCTGGGGGTGCTCCAGGAAGGTGCCAGCTCCCCCGCTGAGCCCCCTGATCCTTTTCTCACACGGAGCAGCCCCGACCGGAGATCCGCAGAGGTGATCTCTTCCCCAAAATCTAATTCAGGAAACTGAGGCGAAGATGAAGGGAGAAGTCCCCCCTGCCCCCTCCACTCCTGTAGACACAAAGGAGACAAGGGAGAAGAGGAAGGGACCCGGGCCGTGGTGGCTCAGAGCTCGAGGTCGTTGGAGATGCGGGTGACGAGGGTGCGGAAGGCCAGGGCGGTGCCCGCCACGCGGCGGAAGAGGACTCCCCGCAGGCCCGGCCGGGGCAGCTGGCAGACCTCCACTTCGAAGTGGGACAGGGGCTCGGGCCCGCCCGCACCCCCGTGCAAGCAGGCCAGCAGCTGCCGGCAGGTGCAGCGGGCGCCCGCTGTAGCCTGGCGCAGAGCTGCCATCAGGGCCTCGGGAGGGCGCGAGCTGGTTAGCTTCACACTCCAGGGGAATCGGAGCAGCCGGGGGGCGGTTTCCGTTTGATCCCAAGGTAGATGGCAACTGAGGGGAGGAGACATGAGAGGTCAAGGAAGAGCGAGAAGAGGACGGGCAGAGGAGGGAGGGGACAGCTCTTCCCACTTTGAACAGATCCTTAGCTGTCCCTCCTGGGCCAGGTGGTTAAGGTGCTGGATTCTCACAAGGTCGACCATGGTTTGAGTCCCAGACCTGGAGGCTTGCTTTCTCACTCCCCTACCCCTCATCTCTCTCTGGTCAAACTAAATAATAATAAAAAATAAAGTTGAACAGATCATTCTTAAAACAAAACAAAACACCCAAAAACCCACCATTCTTCTATTTTTTACTGCAGTGACAGTCTCAGATAAAGCTGCCTAGCTTAGGACATCTCCCAGCCTCCCCTGCAGTCAGGCGTGGCCTTGTATCAAATGCCAGGTTGCAGCAGAAGTGAGACGTGCAACTCCCTCGCGCCTCCCTCACAGGAAAATGTGCCTCCCAGGAGCTGGTCTTGACCGTGAAGGGGGTAGAGGGTAGATGGGAAAGCCTGGGTACCTGAATGACCCCATGGCTTGCTTCCGTGACAGAAATGTATACCTATGGCCAGAAGGTAACACAATGGACTCACACGGGGAGGTCCCCGATTTGCGTCTGGGGACCTCTGGGCGTGCCTGTCCGGGTGTGAATGCCTGTGATCCAGGCCAGCTGAGGCTGGGGGTGGCTCATGGCATAAGGACCCTATTGTGGTGCCTGTTTCTCTAGCTCTCTCCCCATCTCTCATATGGAAGAAAGAACATTTAAACAATGCATTTTTCCTTAACTGTATTTTGAGGCCTTTTTTTTTTTAAAGAAAGATTTCTTGGGACCAGCAGGTGGCGTGATGGTTAAGGTGCTGGACACTCCCACATGGATGATACAGTTCAAGTCTTGGACCTGGTGGTTTGCTTTCTCACTCCGCCCCCCCTCTGTGTCTCTCTCTGGTCAAGTTAAAAAGTGAATGAATGAATAAATAAATAATTTTTTAAAAAGCACTATTAAAAAAAGAGAGAGAGAAAGATTTCTGCTTTAGGGCGTGTATGCTCATCAGAGAGACAGAAAGTGAGAAATCACCCCCAGGGAGGATGGTCATGCCACAACCCCCTCTCCTCCATTCTCCTCTCCGGATCCTGGGCACACTTGCACATGCACTCAGTGTGAGTTTTAAGCCGCCAGGTCGGGGATTTGAACCGCAGTCAACTATGTGGGAGTCCAGCAATGTAACCACTATACCATCTGCTGGTCCCAGGGGGTCTCCTTTTTCTATCAGCTGAGCTCATCTCCTCATATATCCTCCTCCTGTAAGGACAACCACTTTTTCCTCTTCTTCCCAGTCCTCCTCATTCTGGACCAATGCTTCTCACCTAGAAGCAGTACTGTCCGTACAAAGAAAGGGGTATTTGAAATTTCCGGGGACTTTCTGCTGGTCACAAGGTCTTCAGATGGGAACACCACAGTAGTTATTAGGTTGGGGGAAGGGGGGGGTAAATGCTAAGTGTTCTGCAATATGCCAGAGGGCCCTGCATGACAAAGCCAGGTCCTGCCAAAACCCCCACGAATGCTTCTCTTGAGCAGAATTCCACGTCTCTCTCCCCTTTAAGCAGGACTAACTCCACCCTTCAGCTCCTGGAGTCAGTGCTAGCCAATGAGCGCATTCCCCTTCCTGACTACTGTGATTGGGTCAAATATGATACTATGACCAGGCCTGACCAATCAGAGCACTCTACCCCTCTGACCGCAGGCATTGGTTTAAGGATGGGCATGTGACCTAGTTCCAGCCAATGAGAGTCAGCCCTGGGACTTAGTGGAAGCTAAAGGGAAGGCTCAATTTCTTCCAGGTCTCTAAACTAGTACAGGGTCAAATGGGAGCCTGGCCAACTGCAGCGCTGCCTGCTTTTGTAAACGGACTTTTACTGGAACACGGCCAAGACCATTTGTTTTATATTCAATCTGGTTACTTCTGTGCTACAAGGACAGGACCGAATGGGTGTGTCAGAGAGTGTCTGGCCCTCAAAGCCTAAAATAGTTCCCATCTGGGCCTGCGCAGATGATGCCTGCCCCGCTGGCCCAGCTCTGTGGGCCACCGCTGTGCAATCACTGGGTGGGGAGGGTGAAGGAGCGGGGTGTTAACAGGGAGAGGAGTTGGGTCGGAGGAGGGACAAGGCTGACGTTAAAGACGGTCAAGGGAAGGTGCTGGGGGTGGGGCAGCACTGAGAGGAGAGGAATCAAGGCAGGGGTAAGAGGAACTGGCCACTGGGGAGGGGCACGTGTTCCAGGAAGCTAGCCTTAGAGGAAGCAGCTCGGGCCTCACCCACAGGCGTGGGGTGAGTGCTGGGAGGTGCTGAGGCTCGTGGGTCCCAGGCAGTCAGGGTAGGCAGGCACACTCACCTTGTGACCTCAGGTCCCCCGATTCTCTCAGATTCGTCTGCGACCCTAGGGAAAAAGGGACCGTGTGTCTAATCTGGACATAGGGAGCCCTCCTCCCCCAACCCACTGTCTCAGGGACTCCGGCAGCCCCCGCCTCAGCTCTGGTCCCTCCCTACTAGCTGGAGAAGGGCTCAGGAGGGCCCAGAATCGGGATTTGGCCTTCCTGCTCGTCCCGGCAAGGAGAGTCCTTCTGAAGTGGTTAGCACAGGTCGTAGGAGAGATACCAAAGAATTTGGAGGATGAAAGAGAGAGAAGTGGGTGCACACACACCTACACGCAGAAGTGGCCACACACACACACACACACACACACACACACACACGTGCTCGCTCAGGCTTTGCTCTGTCTGCACCTCTTTGAGTGAAGGCCTGCATCGTTTTCCCCACACCCTGGCCCTTCCCCGGCCTATTTTTCTACTTGTCACTGCCTGATAGTTTATATATGTTGCTTATTGTTTACTGCGTGGGTCCCCCAGTAGAACGCTGGCTCTGCCACGCAGGGATTTTACACGTCGTGTTCTCCCTACTCCAGAGCCTAGGACTGTGCCAGGCACGCAGCAGGCGCTCCGTGAGTACAAACGGCAGGTGAGTTATTAATAAGCAACACGCTTATAAAACATCCGCCAAGACAACCGTCTGAGCTTCGGCCATATATAAAAGCACTGGGCCCCCACAACATCGAGAGAAAGGACTTATTACCATCCCCGTTTTACAGAACAAAGGCCGAGAGAGGGTGAGTGACTTGCTCAGGGTCACTCAGCAGCGCTGGAATCTGAACCCCAAGAGTCTGGCTCCAGAGTGAGTAAGGGAACCACCAGACCCCATAGGCTCCCCCGTGCCCTGCTCGCACCCACAGAGCCCCCCAGACGCCCGCACACAGGCCAGACATGCAGACGGGGAGAGCCAGTGAGGACAGAGCTGGAAGGGACTTACTGATCTTGGATCCCTGGGGCAAAGAGGCGCCCGAAACACAGCGGTTAGAGTTCTGCCGTTTAGAGGGATCGAGGGTAACCCTGCAGTGCGAGGAGGGAGGTGAGGGGTGACAGGGCAGAGAGAGGAGGAGGACACATGGGGGTGCAGGAGGCAGAGCAGAGTAGAAGACAGGTTAGGTCCCGTCACCCCCGCCCCACCCCTCCCCCAGGTCCCGGAGAGCTCACCTTCGGGTCAGTTTGGAGGTCAGCTTGGTGAAGAGGTTGGTGGTGGGGCGGGGCCGCCCGGTGGGCAGGGG